TAAAATAATTTTCAAAAGAATTTGTTCCACACAACGCGTGGACTTTCACTAATAAATAATATTGATTAGTGTAATTAACAAACGTAAATATGTAAGCCCCTTTAGAATAGAAAATAAATTCAGAATTAGACATGGTATTAAAAATATCTAAAATATCTAAATCTTAAAACATATTAATTTTTCTTTTGTTTATTTGTCTACAAAACTTACATAAATAAACAATTTAAGAACGACTTATTTTTATTAAATTTATATTATGTTATGATTCAGTGTCTTTTTTAACTATTGTATTAACTGATTTTTTTGTCGTAAGTCAAAGTCTTCATAAACCCGTCACAAATTCGATACAATAAATATTTTAAATATTTTTTAACACTTGTTTCAAAAATGAAACAAATTTTTAACAAGATCCATATAAAATCATAAAAACAAATTGTGACAAAAAGATTTTGTTTTTTTTTCAAACAATCGATATTGTTTTTTTGTATAATGTTGAATTAAATATTTTTTCTCCGGTAAAAATTATTTCTGGATCCGCTACTTGTGGCAAATGTTTTATAATGTGAGAGAGTTACATGTGTATACGAATTCGTCATACCAATACTGATTAAATGACCTATTGTTAGTGTTTTTCTGGAGATTGAAACCACAAGTGTAAGATGGTAGTGCGCTGAAGTTTTCGGTATATCGGGTTCCACATGATTGAAGTTTAGACTCGAGTAGAATAGTTTAGTTCATACTAGTATGATACGAAATAGTCTATGTAATAAAACATTTCTTGAACCATAAATCCTCCTAATAAACAACAATGGCTGAAACAAAACTTAAAATGAAAGAGCCAATTCTCGTATTGTTGTATTAAATTCTTAACAATATCCGACACTGAGATACCAAACCCAAAACAACATATTTTCAAACTCGAGACCCTTCAGATTCTCCATCTTTGGTTGTCCGGATGGTATGTCGATTGAGCTATCGACTCAAGTATTATAAACTTAGTTTTTGAGGTCTTAATAAAATAGTGGGAAGAAGAGAGTTGCCGGTATCCATTGATCGACAGAGCTGCATTGGTGGCTAACGCTTCTTCTTGCCGGTTTGTTAATTCCAAATCTACTTTGTAGACGGTGTTGTAACTTTTTGAAACCTTTTGATAGACGCAATTATGTTTTTCAAGTGATTTTAATCTTCAAGCAACGAGAAACAGCTTAACTAATAGATTCAAATAATCGATGGGGAATTCGTTTATGATCTTCGGGATTTGGCAAATGGGCCAACGACTCATAGAACTAATATTTTGGTCCAAAGTTATTTTACAATATTTTTTTAATTAACTCAACAAATATTATTATGTCTCTTTAATTGATTTTAACGTTAAAAGAAATCTTGGGTGATGTTTTTTTTTGTAACTGAAAAATCAACCCACATTACTCCATTTTTAGCTCCACGTTAGAAAAAGTCTTATTCTTCTCAATTCATTCACACATAAAAACAATAACTCCTTCTTCTTGTACCCTTTGGTCTTATGTCTGAAAGTACAACAAAGTTTTAGGATTCGTTGGCTATTGATTTCGAATATCACAAGACTACATAAGGGCATGTACATTGGTTGTGTTCTCAAATGGTGTTCTCATAACTTTTTAGTATTAAATTAATGATAAAATTACTTAAGAACACTTTAATT